GAGAAGTGGCATAACGTTTGTTCTAAGTTCGTTAGTATAAAGAGCAAGGGAAACACTTCTTTTAGCAGAATGGTAAAGATTATTCACTACACCCCAGTCGTTTTACACATTCAGTTCGCTTGGAGAGACGATGAAAATTAGGTCATCTTTATGATTCCATAATCCTCGTTTTTTTCATTTATACGTAGTAAATATCAGCGGAAAGTGAAAGAGGCAGTGTTAGCGAAAAAATGCAACATGCATAATATGCCGCGTTACTGGAAGACGACACTGTGAGTGATGTGATGGCTACGAGCTAAAATACACTAGGAGAACACTGACGTCTGTCCACGGTCAGAAATGGCACAAATCAAATCAATGAAACAAAGTGGTCCTTTCACGTTAGGTGCTTGTAGGACGGTGAGTCCTACAGAGACCGAACAGAGCTTATAACGAACTCACCTTTGCGTATAATCGAAAGTACAACCTAATATCCACGGTTACTGTTATCACCTCCCTGAGACGCAGGTGGATCCAGAGATGGACTCTCTGTTTCTGCTGCGCTGATTTGGCACACACTTTCTGTAATAGTTCCCAGAATCGACTTTCTATTAACCTCGGCATTGGAATATGAATGCGTCGTTTTCTTGTTCAGCAATCGCGAGGTTTTTAAACAGCATACATTTACTTCCATAGAGAAACACAATACAATACAACGCTAGCTGACGTTTCGGCAGTATCGCCTTCTTCAGAGCCTGGAAGGGTATACTGATATACAATCTACTAGGCCAAACGCTTCAATAACACTTGAAAAAGACGAAAAACTCTATGGTAATTACATGATCAACAGCTTCTCGAAAAAATCACTGCTTTTTACGTGACTTCCAATGGGGTAGTTTAGAACAGCTGATTATAGTCACATATGGTTGATGACTGCACCATCCCACATCAGAAATCGATGTGAACACACGGGGTAAGGTCGCGTATGACCCCCTGCTATTCATTGTAGGGTTTTTGGCATTTATCCAAAAAGCCTCAAGAAGTTTTCGCGCTGGTGTTTTAGCCTCCTGTGCAAAGATATTGACTTTCACTTCAAAATCGTCTCCGCTATGCTTTTGTATCCTATGCGTGCCTAGTGGGGTGCTTCGTCTTAGTTTTCGTTTGCCATCTAGGTGTTCTTTTATACGGATACACAAAGGTCTGCCCGTTTCGCCAATATATTCATCTCCGCAATTGTTACAAGAGATCAGGTATATCGTACCTGAACTCATGCAATCACCGCCCGTGCCGTAAGGGCAAATTACGCAATTTGTTGTTTCACACAGATGGTCATACAGACGGTTGCGAACTAATCGGCGACGTAGAGTAGTCGGTGGTATTTCAACTATCGCTACCGATTCCTCTAGACCTGCCCTTCTTAAGCATCGTTTTATAGTTGCGCTTACTTCATCGCTTATAAAAGGCAACATAAACGGGATTTTGTTTTGGCCGTGTTTCGCGTGGGCGCGTCGTTGGGGTTACTATTTCGTAGCCATTGGAGATGGCTATTTGCCGAGCCAAGTCGCGCGATTCTTCCTTTAGTTCCCTGGTAGTCCACACAGAGGTGGCTGTTCCAAACATGCTTCTCACAATCGCCCTTTTTGTGTGTGAAGGGTGGGAAGAAAGGAAATGAACGAGGATGTTCTTGTTATTTGGCTTTCGGTACCATTTTGTCAAGGAGATGGACAAATCCTTTGAATTATTGAACGGGCAGTCTCAGTGCACAAAGTTCACCCAGGAGAAACCAAGAAAAATTTGGCTTCCGTTTTTGAACGTTCAAATAAACCTGTCAAATAGCGGTCACTAGCGGTTACAGTCCCCAATTTCGCACCGTTGAGTAGGACGAGTACAGAGAGGCTGCTAAAATCTCAGGACCAATGGAAGCTGCCTGGATTACAAAGAACTATGGTGACGATCTGTACCTACAATGCACGTACTTGCATCCGAGTCCTCGATAGAAGACTGACCCCCCCCAGGCAAGAAGGTTAAGGTACGATGTCATCGGCCTGGCCAACACGAGACGACGCCAGCCATTCAACGCCGTCTATGACATCGTAGAAGAACTGTTCCTCGGAACATGCGACAGTAGAGGTGTCGGCGTTCTTGTCAACATGAGTTTGACCATGAACATTGATTCATTCGAACAACTAACAACCCGAAACGATGTTTACGATAAAAAGATGTGGATCAATACCGGCTTTGACAATCTTCGTCGTTTACGCGCCAACATCAAGCTATGACGAGGAAGAAGAAGCATTCTATGTGGACTTGGAGAGGTTCTACACAGAAGACCATACATTCTTCAAGGCTATCATTGGAGGTTACCATTTCAACGCCAAGACTGGACCAAGAAGAACGTCTGAAGAACGTCACATTGGGACCCATGGATTAGAATGGAACGAACAGGGTGTCCGGCTGTCTGAGTTTATGACGACCAAGACCATCCAAGGTAACCCGCAATTCCAGAAGCCCCACCCTCAACGCAGGACGTGGGAGTCTTCCTATGGAGAGTACTATAACGAAATAGACCACACCATAGTAAATAGGTTTTGCCTAACCGACGTCGCTATTGTCCCTAGATTCTACACGGGATCAGACCATCGTCTCCTTCGTGCAAGATTCTATTTCTCGCGTAGAGGAGAAAAAGCCGCTAAATTCCAAAACCGAAGTCCCAGAACCACCGTAAACTGGGATCTATTCAATTTATTAGTCGGCTGTTGGGAAGCTGCCGTTGTCGATAACATCGACGAGGAATACGACCGGCTCATTCAACATCTTCACGTGAGCACTACGAAAGCTGAGAGTTCGGAAGTCACCAAGAGACGTTCGTCTCCAGAAACACTCGAGCTGATACACCAGCGTGGAATCGCACGTGCTGCAGGCAACTGCGAACTAGCGTCGGAACTTGCAAAAAATGCAGACAAGCGAAACAAGAAGATCTTAAGAAGAGAACAGCAGCAGTAATTGTCGAAGCTGCAGAGGCGGGGAAAAGCATTCGCGAAGCGCACCGAAGCGTCGCCAATTACAAGACCAAGATGATTGCTCTCCGGCGCCCAGACGGAACAGTTACAGCGCTCAGAATGGGAATGGAGAAAATCATTCACGAATACTGCTGGGATCTTTTCGATAGCCACGTCTACTTTCTGTCATGTAAAGTAAAGCATGATGGATATGTTGTGCTACCGTTTCTCGCTTCCGAAATCCGACATGCTATTTCGTCGGTGAAGAATCGAGTAGCACCAGGTCCGGACAGGATAAGACTAGAACACCTGAGGAACCTTCCGTCAGTCCTCGTAAACACACTGGCTCGGTTCTTCACACGTTACCTGTCTGAATGCAATGTCCCTACTCAGTGGAAGACCAGCAGGACCATGTTATTGTTCAAGGAGGGTGACCTACACGATATCGGCAACTATCGCCCAATCTGCTTACTGTCTGTCGTCTACAAGCTTTTCACTCGAATAATCCTAAACAGGATTGATAGAACACTAGACGAAGGACAAGGACTAGGACGAAACGAGCAGGGTTTCGAAAAGGATTTAGTACGATGAACCACATCCACACAGTAACAGGGCTCAATGAAATATCGCGAGAGTACACGAGACCGTTCTGTCTCACTTTCATCGATTTAAAGAAGGACTTTGGTTCAATTGAGATAGAAGCAGTCATAGAAGCCCTTGACAATCAAGTAGTCTCTACTCAGTATTTACCACCATCCTCCAGAACGTCATACCTACACTGGAATAGGATAATATGGGAGTGGAAATCGATGGTCGGTAGTTGCACCATCTTCGCTTTGTTGATGACATCGTCCTTATGACACCCAACATTAGCCAAGCGGAACGTATTCTTGCCGATTTTGATAAAGCCTGTGGAAAGATTGGTCTTCGACTATATCTCCCAAAAACAATGTTCATGAGGAATGGATTGATTTTGTATGCCCCTTTCACGCTTAATGTCTCCGAATGGTCCAGTTATGTCTGTCTAGGTCGGGAAATCAATATGATGAAGGACCTAGCTCCAGAGCTGAGCAGAAGAAAACGAGCGGCTTGGGGAGCTTTCAAGAGCATCGAGGATATAGTGAAGAGAACAAGGAACACCCGAATCCGTTCCCATTTTCGACTCAAAGGTACTGCCTGCCCTAACGTATTCGCCGGAAACCTTGTCACTGCATAAGCAGGGTGAAAGGCCACTCAGCGCTATCGAAGTAGTCCAAAGGACGATGCTAGGAGTACCCTGTTCCACACAAGTAAGGGATGGGATCCGAAACTCTTATCTGCGTCAACGATCAAAACTCATAGATGCCGTTCTCTACGCCAAACAGTCGAAGATAATGTGGGCCGGACACGTAATGCGCATGAATGACAACCGATGGACAAAAGCCGTTAGTGACTGGATTCCTCGGGATGTCAAACGTACTGCAGGAAGACCGCCGACCCGATGGTTAGAGTTCTTCACGAAAAGCCTAGAAAAAAGATATGATGCTCGACGAGTCCCTAGAGCGAGCAGAACCCATTGGGCTACTCTTGCACGCGACAGGGAAAGATGGAAGATTTACTGCCGCCCGCTCAAGTCACTCGACGATCAACGGGACTACAGGTGATACTGTTATCACATTTCATTAGTAAAGTCCTGAAAGTGAGCTATAATACCGCTGTTGCCCTTCGAGCTTAATGAGCTTGTCGAAGTATTCTTATCCCAAAAAGACAACAAATGTCTACAGTACCACCTTCTATCATTTAAGGATCAATGTTGAAGACTAGCGATATGCTGTTAATCGTCATCGAAAAGTCGACCGATAAAGGTGTATGTATAGGTTAGTACTACATCGTCTACTCGTCTACATTTATGAACTTTTATTGTATAACAGTCATAGTGTTATGATACTTCATAATCGACATTCATAGGACCAACTGAAGTGAGGACTGAAAAGTATCGGATACGTAAACTCGGATATACTCAAACTTATTTTTTGCTTATAACTATTGTTCTGCTCTGCGCACGTGAGCCTTTCCGCTCTTGCTTGGCAGTTCGTTCAGTTGATGTAGAGCTGAAATATGCTTTGCAGAAAAGAGAGAGAATGTTCGAGTTCGGAGCAAATCTTATGAGGTACCTCGGAGAACTCGAAGAGCTGCGACCACATTCTGAATAACAAGGCGGAAGCGTTTCTTCTTTTGCAGTTTCTCCGGAGTCTGCTAGATCTCGAATTATCGCCTTAAAAAAGATCTGATATGAGGTCTTTACGAATTTTTAACTGATTCATCCGCTAGCTTTCATTATTCTACTAAAACAATGGTATATATGAAGAGATATCTCAACACACGCTACTTGGTGGTGAGAGTACTAGAGTGATTCGTCTCTAGGCTTGATTTGCAGAAAAATTTCTTCACCGCCCATGGCCCGGTGGTTGTTCAAGATTTTCTTTTCATGAAGCCTTGATATAGTTGCACTGAATGATTTCGGGGTCGTGAACACAATCGCTGACTTCTTCTACAGAAGGAGGGTTGCCGCATTAGCACTAGTATCTTCCTGGATGGTATTCCTGACATTTGCTTACTCTTAGCTAGGCTTTTCGTATGGGATTATCAACGTATAATCATTTTTTGACCTTGACAAGAGGAAAGTAGTTCCGTAGCATGCACTCAGAAACATCCTCGACACTAAAAGGCGAAACTATTCTGAATACATAGAGAAGCAGATCGGACGAAAAGAAGAGAATATTGAGAAAGGTTCAGAATAGCATACTTATTTGAATAGTTGAGCAACCCGCACTTATGAACCACAAAAAATAGTGCGGAGCACACTGTAATTTCCAGTTGAATGTTTGATATTTATTCAAGGTTTTTTTTCGTGGAACATTGAAATTTGCACTAAGGGATTCTAAGGTCGTCACCACTAGTCAATTATGGAGCAAAAATAGCAGTGATTAGTTCCACTGCTTTATTCATATCTGGGGTTTTGAATAGAAACGTCGAACCCTTTCTTCTCGTATTGATAGATCCTGCTGGTGGAATGAAGTCTACTCCGTGTATCTATGCTGAACATCCAACAACACGCCTAACAACGATAAGGCAATAAAACAATATAAGACGGCCTACCTACCATTCAGCAGGGGTTCAGCATGGAGTAAATAAAGAGTGGCATAGAGTATCGTAGAATGTGAACAATGGAAATGAAGACTCACTGAGTACGGAGGAGGATCATCAGGGTTCGTGTTACCCATTACGGGTTCAGGTATCGCGACAAGACGTGGATATGGAGGAACCGGCGGATAAATGTAGCGATTGTGTTGACGATGATGCTGGAAGTAGAGAAGATTATAGTGCCGGTGACACCAGTGTTATTCGCATATTGCAGCACTCGTTTTTCTTTTACTGAATAGCTTCATAGCCATTAGTACAGACGTTTTGAAGCTGCTGTAAACACAAAATAGCCTCATTAGTGAAACATGTACATATAACAGCTCACCATTTTCAACAAAACCCTTTTTATTAGTGAATGTTACACTTTTAACCCGATTCCAAACTTCCCCCAGAGTACTTTTCAAATCAGAAGCGTTCAATTTGACTGAGTTTCATGAGCAATTTTGTTCTTATAGACAATTGTAGGTTATACTATCGAGAACGGAGAACAAATCTCTCGAGGGCAATTCTACCGGGACTGAGAAAACATTTGCTTCATCGCAAAAATGCATCCTTGGGAAAAGGGTGATGCATTACGGATAAGTCGAGAATTTCCCTCCCCAAGAAAGTCGAGATGAGGCGATTCCTGTTATGAGAAGCATTTTTGTAGATTCGCTTTGCTGGTAGCGCTAATACGACTACCGTAACCTGTCGGATTCAGTCTCACTCCGCTGGAGTGGGAATCCTTATGGAACCCGATAGTATTTCAACACATAGAAACAAGCCACATTTTCGTACTTGAAATCCAATACATAAAACACGACGAACCGCGTCGACTTGGTAATCGGTAATGTTTTTTACAAGTGTTAAAGCAACTAGGGCAAAATACAAAGCTCGAAATCCAGCCCACAAGCATGACAGCTCACTAGTTTCATGTGTGAACTTCGCGAAATACTGCAGAGAATCCAATTCTGAAAATATGCATTGATACAGCAGCATTTTGTTGAAGGCAATTACCGTACTTCCGCAGCATTTATGAAGAATACGGTGCTTATTTCAAGCTGATCCAAATATTTGTCAATATAACAGCTCACCATTTTTCTTTACAAAAGCCACATAGTTTTGAGGCCATCCAATTTTTAACGCTATAAGGCAAAATAAGGCCAACGACGTCATAAATTCAAAAGTCTAAATCAGATCGATGGTGCTATCGCAACGAATATCCATTAATAGTAAGATATAAGTACAATACATGGTCATTACAATTCCCAGCATAACTTACATGATACTTGAATGGCCCGTCTTCACCGGTTGTGCGGGCCCCAGCATAATCTCTTCCATATTTCGGAATTTTGTTGGTTTAGTTGTTATTTTCCTGGAGTCCCGAGACCAGCTTGGCCAATGTCTGCCCTGGGTCGTCATCACCACGAACAGTCGTAGCCCTTGTAATTCAGAGGGAGGTTTGCTACCACGCGACTAGTTTGGTACCAGGACGGTGGCGGATCCTGGCATTGGTTTCCTCTTGGCTGGGCATCCACATAGAAACTCCGGACTACTTCTCAAGTTGGGAGGCCTTGCCGAGTGGATGAATCCTCCGCTGTACATCGCAGTCCAATACCCAGAAACAGTTCCCAGTTACGACGAAGCATTGGAAGGTTCTCAGCACAAACCGAAAACAAAAAAAATTGAACTTACCACCAGAAAAAGAAACGGGTAGAAAAAACAGGCGTTTCTTGTCACCAGTGCGAGGATGCAAAACACAATACACATTGCGATAATCATAATTCCTAACGTATTTACACCTAAAATTTGTGCACTTCATTGCACGAATGAAACGCTTGACAATTTCTGGCCTACGCCAGTAGTTTTTGCATGTTCTGTCCTGTGGACGAGAAAAACACAGCTAATCAGTTGGTTGGAAACTTTTATGGGAGTGAAGACATCCTCATTGGATTTCTTCATTTTCAATTTAACTTAGGAACTTAAGAAATTAGTTGGCGTGCGCTATCGTCGGCGCAAGTTTATCGATCGATTTGTAGTAGATCGCTATCGAAGTAGTGGTTTGGATGCGTAACCGGTTTGACCTACAGATCATCGAACAACAGGAGCTAAACAGCCATTCATAAGAGTTGCATACTTAAATACGAACTATTCCAAAAAATGAACTTTGCGACTTCGATTGTTTATCTACTTTTCTTTTGTTTTTTTCATATGTCCTCGCAACGGTTTACCGCCTCATCGTGGCTAGGAGGTGTTCCTGGGTGTCGTGCTGCGGTCTACAACGGGGGATTCATCCACTCAGCAGAGTCTTCCAGGCTGAGGAGAAGTTCGGCGTTTCCACCGGGAAGCCTAGCTACGTGTAAACCAATACCAGGATTCACCAATGCCCTGGGATCAAACTAGTCGCATGGTAGCAAATCACTCTTTGATCCACAACGGTGGTGACTGCCTTTGGTGGTGACGACCTGGCGCAGACTTTGGGCAGGCTGACCTCGGGACTCCAGGGAACCATATTGGCTTAACCAGCAAAATTTCGAAATATAGAAGAGATTATAGTGGGACCCGTTGAATCAGTGAGGACCAGCCGTCCAAATATCCAAGTATTTTCATATGTACACTCATACTCACAACGTCAGCCGATTCTATATCTCATAGAATGAATTGGGGATATTTTTCAAGGCCCATGTAATTGGTGGCAGTTCATAATAGCAGCAATAACAGCAAATTATCGTACTTTGTTGGTCTTCCATCGTAGTTAACAAACAAATGATCCAGTAGATGAAGAGGTGTAGTTTTAACATACTCTGAAGTTATAACATTTTGAGAAAACCATAATTTTGTGCAGGTTTATAGCTCGAAATCATTTGGCTCATTCATTCTCTTTTTTCGTCGTCATAGCAGAGGGTTGTGACAGTCAAGATTTCGAATTCATTTAGCCTCATTGAGACGACCGCCTCGTAAGAAAAACCATTTGCACAGACTTGGTATCATTTTGTGGCTATGGTGTTTTCCTTTGCATAGAAGTACGGTGTACAATGACAAATATGATGTCCTATCGTGGTATTCTAAAGGTGAGTTAGACATTTCTGTTCGGAAGTTCAGCTGAGAGTAAATCTATGCCAGGAATCACTAACATCTTGCATAAAACCGCTCCGATGCAGAAAGATCGGTGAGTACCTGAGTCAAGGACCTTACACACTTTAGTGTGATCTGTCAGGAGATCCCAATGGAACAGCAACCTGGCCCGTGCAAGAAGCTATCCGCTAAGCAGAAATTGGACTCGGATGCACATAGTTAATGAAGATAGTGTATTTAGATATGTAAGTAAATTGTTTCAAGATCGGAAACAGACCTCGGACAGAAGCAGCGATACAGCCTGTTTTATGAATAGCCACCATCTTTGCTGATTAAACCAGTTTTGTCGATTATGTACCTACAAGTCATATGAGAATGCTTATGAAAAACTAATGTGCACAGAATTTTCGAAGGAACGGATGTAAAGGCAGGAAAATATTCTATAAGAAGTAAGGAAAACGTCAGTGATGGTGATGCGATGATTGCATAGTTATGACGACAAATAAGCTAAGGAACTAACGATTAAGAGAGAAATGAAGAACGAAGCAGTAGTGAGGATGGAAAGAGAAATAAAAAAGCATGAAACATACTCAGGATAACCATAAAAAATATTTCCTTAAGCATCGTTTTCGCTCTGTTTCGTAAACGCAAAAACGTTTCGCTCTTCACGAATTCACGTTCTCCTTCTTTTCAGCTGATTCGAAGACACTTCTGAACGGTAGCGCCCGTTTATGCGCCATACGAACTAGCCCTTCGTTTCGCACAGCTGTCGATTTAATGTTCTTTGTTTAGGAATACGGACGAATTCGAAATGACAAACTCTATTGCAGTGCTGCAGTACACGACTTTAAGGATAAAAGACGAAACTTTCGGTGCTGATCAATTGCTGAGGAATGCGCCATTCATTCCACTCCATTCGTAGCATAGCAGAGGTGAACGAATCCATATTCGGTCTATGTAATGTACTTCGTCTACTGAGATATCAAGTCAGCGATTTTATCCTGATAAAACGAGTACCATCATATGGCCACCTCAGTTCCCATGAAAGGATAAAGGATAAAGCTCTCGGCGTTGATCAATCCCTTAAGGATGCGCCATGCATTCGACTTCATCAAGCATCGTTTGGAGGTGATTGAATGCATATCTGGCCTTTACAATGACTCGCAGTGGCCTACCGATGTTTCGAGCCAGTGTTGTTATCCTCCCAGACAAGTCTGGTACCCATTTGCCGACTCTGCAAAGATCGAAGGCTTGGTGAGCCAGAGGCGCGGAGATCGATTCTACGTGTGTGTTGCAGGGCGCCACCATGCACTGCGTCACACGCGTCCGCCGTTCATTTCCCATATTTCATAAAAATTCCCGATAAGCTCTTTCTCCGATCCGCAAAGGTGGGAGACCACTTGTACTGAAGGCTTAGGATTGCTTCAGTAGAGCAATACTACGATTCCAGAATGAGTCAAATAGGCTCAGTGACTACGTTTATAGAGCACTTCTCTCTGGAAAAGTTCTCTACCTATTTAAACAGCAGCAGTTGACGTCTACACCATGGTCGTCTCGCAGCCGCAAGCCACATGCTGCAACATAGCCTTTGTGGTCTACTCTGCCAACTACCTTCAGTGTTTCAGGCACAACAACGGTTCAGGCTGACTTGGGTCGCACAACAGCGATGGCTTATCCGAGGGTGGAGGCGTAGCTGTAGAACTGTCTATTATTGCCTATTATTGCCTTGTGAAACAACGAAGCCAATAACCTTTGATGTTTCAGGCCGTTAGGTAAAGTCTGTTGCAGTCCAGGATCAACAATTCAGATCGGCCGCGGTTGCATACCCACGCGGCTCCCGCAGCCAATATAAGCCAGGTGCCTTCGACGGCGGAGACATGCCATCACTCACCGTACCCCTGATCGGTAGCGCCGATAATCCATTCCTCACAACATCAATCCCAATCATCCTCAATCACTTCAACTCATTCTCAGTCTTGCTCATTCATTTTAATTCATTCCCACTCATTCTCATTCATTCTCATTCAACCCCAGTAATCCGCAGATTGTTGTTGTTGTATCTCGTTTCTTAGCTTGTCTATGGTGCACTGTCAGTAGTGCTGGGTGTTTCCAAATGCGTTCTATTTGCAACGCCATCGGTGGCACGCACCATTCCTCCAATAATGTGCGCCATGCGTGCAAAATCGTTGATCGGCCAACTTTTGCTATGTGCTTGTTAAGCCGCTATGGACTTACCAGTTGCAGTCATCATTCTGGCCGTTGACTCTTAGGCAATGGTGGTACCCATCAGCGCTCAAACTTCACGTTCCATACATAGCGTTATCCACGACCAGCCGCCTGACTGTGTTCCGTAGATGACTCATCATTCGCTGTCCATAGCACCGTCAATGCTCATGTAACTTACTGTCCTCATCGATAATGCTAAAGTGCACCTCACCGCTACAATGTGGAAATCTTAGCTCAGCCGAAGAAACGGCTGGTCTGTATCCTTCTCCGCCCTAACATACTGTCGCCCTCCCCGCCCCCGCATACTGTCTCCTTCAGCCGCCGCACCGGCCGCGGGTAGTGCGAGTGCGGCATCGCTCGCGGCTAACCAGCAGTTATTTCTATGTAATCATTCATTGTTACTGTTATTGTTGTATTAATGATGTAGTAATATCCAAATGACATTATTTCGTTGTTAGCCTCACTTCACTACTAGCCATAGCACCACATAGCTTTAACTTGCGTGATTCTTTTACCAGTACCGCTCTGTCGTTACTATTATGTTATTAATGTTGTATTTATGTATGTAAACGGTTCAATTTCCCAAGTTTGAGGCTGGTAGATCAATACAACTAAGAGACCCGCGTGGCTAATATTCTACATCATCTGAACCGGCTCCACTTCGCCACTAACTATTCGTTACAACGTTTGCACTTTAGTGCACTTCTAAGCATTGAACTACACGCAATGTAAGTGGCGTGAAAGATAAGGAATAAAGTGTTAGACGTTGATCAGTTGGTCCATGGTTGATGCGTTGATTTATGAAGGATGTAGTACGCATATTTTTTACATGACCCTTCATCACGTCTACTGTGCTGATCCCAGCAATTCTTGCATTAGATTCGTTTTCCTCGCATTAATCGTCCACAAAGGTTTTCGAAGATTTCGCGTGTTGTTTCGACTACTGCTTGAGGATTTCGTGCTATTCATGAATTTCATAAAATGGTGGTCGATTCGATTCTCCTTGTAAGCTTCGAGTTAGTCAATCTAAGTTTCCGCGTAGATTGGAGGAAGCGTTGGGGAGGTTGTTGAAAGGACACTTGTTTCCTGATGGACTGCGCCACTAACCACTCCTCTACGCGCTGTCATGCATTCCTCTTCGTCAGGCATCGTTGGAAGTGGCTGCATGCTTATGTGGCCAATACATTGACTCGTGGCGGCTTACCAGTGTACGAAGTCAGTACTTTTCCCTACCCAACAAGTATAGTACAAACTCGTCTACTCCGGAATATGGACTGCACGCCATATATGGTGAGCGCGCATAGATCCAATGGTCATATATGGGTTGCAGTACACCTTATCAAGTTACAGGCGCCGTAAGTGGCGTAGAAAGGCTCAAATTAAAGTGCAAAAACAAAATCGTGTGCAAGCCGCTGTGTTCTTGCAGTCGTGTTCATCTGAGTCTTCTCTAAGTTAGATGGATTCATATCGTCCGTATATACATAGTCATATCATGTATACTTATATGGGTCCGTCCTCGTGTATGCGGTTTGCATCCTGCCCCTCGATTCAGCAAAACCGTGCAATCAAATGGAGGAAATAGTTCGACGTACATTCCATCAAATTAGACTTACATCATCTACGCCAGGGATATCCATGGATGTTTCTCTTTCACAAAATTTACCATTAGGTGAAGCACCAGTCTGCGACAGATATGCACTAAAATGGACGTTATGCGAATACTCATTTATAAACAAGTGAAAAACTCGTTGATATATTCTTTCCAGCTTAGTATCGTTTAAAATTATGCGATTCTGTCACTCGTAGCAGCCGGTCTTGAGAAGGTCTTCAAGATCCTACTTATCTGATTCACCCCTGAGAAACTCACAGTAGCAGAATGAAGAATGACATGAATAAGGAGCTCAGCCAACTTTTTCAGGTCAACAACGGTGACCATCTATTACGGAAAGAGTAAGGAACAAAGCCGCCAGAATTCTTCAATCTCATTCAGATGTGCAACAAAATCTGGATATGCTTCAGTTATGAAAGCACGAATAATGCAGATAGAGGTTCGACAACGCCATACCATATCGCCAAAGTTGTTCACTGCGACGCTGCAGTGTATAATGAACCTACTTTATTGGGACAAGAGTGGCATACGTCTTGATAGAAAATTCCTATCAAATCTTCGTCTAGCGGATGAAATCGTCATTTCTTCGATGAGTACCAGTGAATCAGAGACGATGCTCAGTGAACTTAACGAAGCGAAAAAAAGACTGGACTTCGTATAAATACGACGAAGACCCAGTTTATGAAGAAATGAACATGAAGAGCAACAGGAAGGAGGAATTAGGCAAGGAAAGGAGAGCACCAAGTATAGCAAGCAGGCCTCTCAAATAAGCCACCGACCAACTGAAGGACCCGAAAATCCGCGCACTCCTTTCCGATTCAACAGTCCCCTAGCGCTCTGTTATGCGGCAGAGTCATGTGCTGATACTTTCCTTTCATGAAATTCAGTTTTAAAATATTGTTACTGCTCTTTGCTAGCTAATAATGATACCGACTTCTGCAGGTTTGATTGTCCAGGAAAAACAAGTTTATCACCGGATAATCACAACTACCAACCATCAGCATGCTGCACAGAAGGGCATCACCGAGTGTGTGTGCCTCATTCGAGATGTGGTCCGCTGACGAAGACACAACTCGATACGATCAATATTTCTTCGAACGACGCCTCTGGAACAGTTGTTAGAGATGTGAAGCAGTACGTGAAGCAGTATACACGGGGTCAATGGTTCGATTTCACGCCTAAGTTAAATTAATTTTCCTCGCTCCTAGACCGGCAAACTGATGTCGGACATGCTTTCGAGGATAAAGGCATCGACATAGTGGATATATCAGGAGCCGCACAAGTGATCTTATAGGCTAAGTATGCATTTAATCACCTCTACTATGCAATGAATGGGGTCGAATGTGTGGTGCATATCAAAGAGCTTAACCAAAGTCGAACTCTCTAACTTTTTGTGCTAATTTTCCGGAAATCATTTGGACTAAAACGATTCACATGTCGCAGCAAGGTTCCCATTCAATAGCTCACAGAACACTACAAGTTTTTAGGTTTCTTGCCACATTTATAAAGTGGTTTGGTACTGTATCGTCAGAAAGGTGAGTATGACGCAGACTGCATTTAGTAGTAAATGTCTAATTCCTTTCAGGAAAGAACGAAGAACAACTGATAATAGAACACTCATATGGAAATATGGTGCTAGTTGTAGACTTTGCGCTGGCCTGGCCTAGGAAAAGTTCTAGAACATTACAGGTACAAATGAAGACTATGCTGGAACTCTTCATAATTAGAGCAAGTGACAAGATGATCCTGTGAGGGCAGTATTGCACCAGTCGTCCACATGACGTAATAGTTTGGCAACTCAAGACGCAAAATACAGAATCATCTATGTATTTGGGAAGGCACAGAAAATAATAATAGAACGTCATCTTTAAAAAAATGGAAAAATTACAATTATTGACCAAGTATCAGAAACGAGCGGGAAAAAAAACAACGAAGGTTGAGTGGAAAAACACGTGACGTCTAATCATCGTTTTCTTTCGTATGTCCACTTCCAAACTCCTGCACGGTCTACCTTTCCTGGCTTCACCATTTCAGGTTTCAGTTCAGAATTTTTTGTCTGCGCCAGATCCTTCAAAATGAGACATAATGTTTTGCTTTGATTGGTTTCTGAAATGATAATTAGTTCATATTTTGTGGAGATGAAATAGCACGTAACCTTTTTGAGCTGCAATTTAGCAACCACAATCTCCAATTCCTTGGCTCTCTGCTGTCGTTTCATCAGTTCAGAATAACGAACCCTTCTCAGGCGATCCGCATTCTTAATTAGGAAGGCCAGTGATTAATAAGTGAAAATAAATACAAAATAAAAGAGTAGGATCATGTATAGGCTATACTACTTACTTGGAAAGACAACCATCATAAACCCTGTGGGGGTTCAGACAACTTACAATGGACTGAAAATCTACAAGATCTGAAAGGATTTTTAATGTATGGTAGAGAGGACCATGTTAGGTAGCTTCCACGTCCCTATCATATCACCGATTCTTGTATGTTGAAAAAGCTGACCTTGTCAGGAATGAAATACTGCTTAGTAATTCAAAAAACTGACTTCCTATGAACCTCGACATAAATAGTTGACATATTTATACATATGATCTTGTTGAGTTGGTGCGAGGTTAGTATAAGTTTTCGCTGTCGTTGTTGTTGTCGTCGTTACTGTTGGTATTGTTGGTCGATGGCTGACGTTTCGGCGATATCGCCTTCCTCAGAGCCGTGATGTTACAAGTGGGACTCCCATTCCCACGACTCTAAGGTGAAATCGCCGAAACAGCCATCAACCAACAACGCCAACAGCAACAACGACGACAACAACAACAATGACAACGACAACGAAGACCTATAGCAACCTCGCATCAGCTCAACTAGATCAGTTCATAAGATCATATAAATAAAACTACTGCGTTTGCCAGTTCAACACCCAAAAGTCTTTCACTAGAACGAGGCAGTGAACTGTTCATAGACACACTATCTGCTATGGGATAAAACACTTGAACAAACCTTCACTGCTTCTTTACATTCAGCTCCTATCACTTTCTTATTTGCTAAATCGTTTTTTCGGAGCCGATTGTATTTTCGCGAGATCATAGACTCGTCTGTATCGAAGAATTCAACGGGATCAAATGACTTCGCTAAAATTAACTACAAAGGATACTTATATAGAAAGATGGTATAAATTCAGAAAATAATAACAGAAGCAACAACTATGTACAAATGAAAGCAAACTCATTCATATAGCAGATCTCAAGACCGACTTCCTTTTAATTTCGGCGCTGATCAATAATTTACTGTTTTTCTTGATGAGCACGCATTAGGTTGTCATTCTAGCATTTACTAATAGCTGACTGTCCGGTGGTTTCACCTTCTTCAAGGTCACGAAAGATCAAATTGCCATAGAATCTACTTAGCCAAACACTTTCATAACTAAAGCAGACAAAACTTAACATATAGATTTCCGTCTGCGTCACAAACAGCTTCTTTTAAATCAAAAACTGGCTGACGAAAAAGTAAAGCAAGAGCCTCAGTGGTGTAGTGCGTAACACATGAATCTCCGGAAAGGGTAATTGCGGGTTCGAATCTGACCTATGGTCCGAGTTTTGGAAACATTTCAGCATCATTGTGGTTGTATTCCACATAACAACCTATCGTGAAAGAACAATAGGTAGTAAAGAAAGAGTTATAATCACCGATTATTTGTTGGCTCATTTTTCAATTATCTGGTGGACAGCCGCACAGAGTTCTACATGGGGAAGGAATGTGCATGGCTCAGGTTAAGAAATCAGCCTAAGATGTGGTGGTAGGCAATAACAACGAGAATGAGGTGTGGTTTGTCCTGTAGACAGACTAGAGAATTCGATAACAGTGATCAAAATACCATAAGACACTTATAAATAAAAGCCAGCTAGTTCGTAATCGCCTATATGCAACGCAGGATAAACCCAAAATGTTTATGCACAGCGCAGAACTGTATAAGTTGCCCCAAGAATAGAAAAGGTAATTGAGCTGAGTCCGGGTAAGCTGCATCTAATCTCTCGCAAAGGGTGCGGTGACGAATACATTGGCGAAACGTGTAGACCACTGTGTGTCCGTATAAAACGACACCTAGCCGGTAAATTTAAAATGAAATCAAGTACGCCACAAGGTGCACATAGCACACAGAAACATGATGGAGATTTTCAAAAAGAAGTCACTATACTCGCACGGGAATTGAAAACATCAGCGCGTAAAACACTTGAAGCGTTTCAGATAAATTCCAAAAATCCAAAAATACACCGCAAGGTGGAGTGCCTTGTGGTCACGTGCGACATACCACCATACTTCAGGCTTATTTTTTTGCTTAAGCCAGGAAAATTCCTCGCGCATTTAAGACTGTGTGCGGCTGATCTCCAACGGGTAACTGGAAAACTTCCAAACAAAAAAAGGTCAATGTTTAAAAGAAGCTGTTTATTATTCCAGTGAAAATTTATTCTTTAAGTATTATCTGCTGAGGCTATGGAAGTATTTAGCTGAGTACACTGCATGTCAATTTGACATTCTCAGGCCCTGAAGGAGGCAAAACCGTCGAAACGACAGGTATTATGTATTAATAAATGCTGTGATAACAGCCTAATGCTAGTCCATCAATAAAAACAGTAAATTCAATCGTTTTTTAAACTCTCTGAAGTTTTTACATGTCATAGTGCTAGCACTTGGAAGCAATTCAAATGTGTATAACATAGCGCATTGTTAGAATATTTTCACTCAGCAGAAGCACTGCCAAAAATGCGTGGTTCAACAACACTTAACAGTGTTAACATAACACATATATATATACATATATATATATATATATATATATAAATGATCTCGTCACTGCTTACCTTCCTTGTCATCCTCTACAAAAATCGTATGTTTGCTAGCTGCGAGTCCACAACTGGGATCAGCAAAGTGTAGTTCTGATTTAAGTTGTGCAATCTTCTAAAACACAACGACAACTAACCTAGCTGTTAATAAGGGTTCCCTTCGACTTTTATACTCGCTTAGTCAGTAAATAATTTCACATTATCTTAAACATTATTCGGAAAAACACAGTTATCATCTCATTGCGAGCACTAGGAAACGGCAAATTACATCAACAACTGACGTTTACTGGATAGATTTTATATCGAACACACTGAAGTTTACCTTGTTTTCCGCGTATAATTTGTATTTTACGTATTCCAGGTCCTTGATATCGCTCAATTTTTGCTGCACTTCAGAATCCTCTTCTTGCTTTCTTCTCTTCTCGAAATGTCGACCATCTAACTGAAACGCTATTGACATAAAGAATATACGGTATACACTTCCAAATGATGAGACGAGGACAGCTGATCTCGCTGTTACCATAATTTATAACTATCAACTCACCTTAACTTCACTGTTGATCATATGATGATAGTACTCATCTTCATTCTTATCCAAAGCATGTTTGTGCAATTTCTTCAAAATTTTGCTCTTCTCCTAAACATAGATTCTTCAATTCCAACAAGGAAATAATGAATCACTTAACGATAAATGCAGTAGCACTAGTTGAAGTTGCTGCTCCTTCCATCAAAAAAAATTTCATTATGAGGATCATGACGAGAACAATAGAATTTTTCCAGAAAATGAAGTGCAGCACCGTTTAAGATGTTCTTCTCCCTCTAAGAACCGGAGTGCTTTATAACATACGATTAGAAGAACCAAAAATATTTCCGTTTGCTAATAAACCACTTGTATAACCTGTAGTTCTATCGGTTGCCGTGTGAGTCGAACATGCGCCGGTGAAATTCCTACTTGTCTGTGAAGAACTCCGACCATCGAATAGGTGACGCTTCTACCGTGTGTTCGATATCGCGAGGGATCAACTCACTAGCAGCTTTTGCCCATGGGTTGCCGTTCTGATGCATTACGTGTCCGTCCTGCTGCGCATTCTATTAGGTTGTTAAGAAATGAATAAGCGTCTTTAACTATACTATTTAAAATGTCATAACTTGTTTCAAACAAAGCTTTATTGATAAAAAAAAACCATTTGAATTTACACATTTTTCTCAACAACAGACAACTTTATCTATTCCAGTTCCACAAAATTCTGGAGTTCTGGAAGAGATGAATTCGTTAAAGGCACTTTTGCGTCATCGTGGTTGGTGAGGCATTTCTCGCGCAGGAAGTCGTCAAAGGCCTTGGAGAAGTGATAATCGGTAGGCAAGAGGTTGGTTAATATGGTGGATGAGACAGTTTCGTGGCCCAACTCGCTCGACTTCTGCAGAACTGGTTCCGCAACGTAAGGTCGGGCGTTGTCGTGAAGAATTGGTTCTTTTCTGTTCACTAATGCCGATCGCTCTTGTTGGAGTTTAAAGCTAATTTCGTCGATTTGTTAACAGTACTTCTAGGCAGTAATCGTTTCGCTCGGATTCAGAAAGCTGTGATGAGTCGGCCCGGCTGCAGACCACCGAACAACCACCATAACTCTTTTTTTGGTGCAATTTCGGTTTTGGGAAGTGCTGCGCCGCCTGTTCGCAATCCATCCATTGAGCTGAACGTCGACAGTTATCACACAGAATCCACTTCTCGTCGCACATTACAGTTCGACCAAGTAAAGGGACGTTTTTCTTGTGCAGAATAAGAGCAGAGACACTTTAAAGCGGCGATTTTTCCTAACTGTTTAATTCATACGACATCCACCTGTAGAGTTTTTTTTTGCTTTCCTACGCGACTCAAGTGGGTTGAAATTGTTCTTATGCATACGCCAAGCTGTTCTACAAGCTCTCGAACAGTTGTTCGCGTGTTTGCTCCCACTAGTGCCATCAATTCGTCGCCATCAAGTTCACTTGGACATCCACGACCTTCCTTCACTTCGAGGTCGAAATCTCCACATAGAGATTTCCGAAACTATGGTCGCACTTACTGATATTCTTGTTTAGCAACCATGAGGTGTTATTTTATTTCTTCGTTTTCTTTATTTATTTCCTTTAATTCCTTCATTTTCTTTAAGTTCGCAGTGCTTGATTCAGCAACATACTCTCACCCCAAACTCCCTTAATACCTCGGTCGTCTTTGCTGCACTAAGACCGAGCTTGAACTCATTGAAGAAAATTTGACGAAAAATCGTTTTTGACATCTAAAATTGCAAAGCTTAAGAATAGTTAAAAATTTACCTTTTCACAAAGTATAAAGATGTGGTTAGAAAGGGCAACATAATATTGCAAGGTACACAGACAATGTTTTGTTGGTAAAAATATATTAAAATAATAAATATTTCAAAACGTTCATTTATTTCTGAACAACCTAATATCGTACTAAGTGGCCTTCTATCTTGGTTATGTTGCGAGCAGTTGTCTGATGCCTACGTTGAAGAAAGGAGATTCATGGAGCCCAAAAGCTGGGCACAAGACGCGCGTTCTTAGCCCACTTTACTACATCTTCGTTGCTCTTGAAAGCTCCTCAATCTAATCGTCTCCTAATGCTCGGCTCTAGATGGAGCTAATTCTTCCATAATTTTGATTTACCGACTTGGATGACGTAGTCTGAAGCATTCAGAGATGTTCAATCAGTTGAACGTAAATACATCACACAAAACCAATCCATTTTTCATGAACATCGTTTTTTTTGAGATTTAGTCGAAGACCAGTCATTTAACAAGCCAGTGTTTTATTCTCCACAAGACACGAGGTTTTCAATAACAGGACTTATTTAATACAATACGCGCAACCTTATTATTAGAGGTTTAGCACTCTGAACTATAAGCATAAGTCTACGTAGTCAATTCGTGTTTAGGATGAAATACCAACTAATAAAACATACTCACATGGTAATCTTTAGCTCGCGCTCGGTAGTCCGATTTCTTCTCAAGTAAACCAAGATGGACTCGTGCCTTCGGCTTAAAATAGAATTATAGTTACTGGTGGACGAGGTAGATTTCCATTATTAATAAATGAATATTGCTATCAAATGAACCCGGCTAAGAGATAAATGCCAAGGTTGATCAGAGGAAACGCATCGAAATTACAACCTTGTTTGCATAAGAAATCTTTTTCTATAGTTCTAAGGCCCCTACGTGTTTGACCATCAACAACTCAAATCAAGTTAAGCGTACAAACACTTTACTTAAGCGAAAAAGAAATAATTCGAATTGGAATCCAAGATTGCAACACAATGTTTTGCAGCAACGACTAGAAGCTAAGACTAGCCTGTGACCGTTCTCTGTGCGGTCGCTGACTCGCTAATTTCTTGCTTATACTCGAGAACGTTGACATCTGGAAACAAAGAAAATTAATACTAACACAGATGGCACAGTAGTTTAATAGAAAAATCCAAAAGTAAATAGTTTCAACTCGGAATTCACCTTAATTTAATGATGTGCTGCTGCCCTACAAATATTTATAATCAACAAAAAAATTTCTAACAAAGTAACAATGACACTAAACTAACTCAGAATCAACAATAGAGAAGTGCATAACAAACACCTGCGGATGGTATCAAAATTAAGAACTATACAGTACATACAAACAACAGTTTACATTTCGAAAAAACCTAGTTAAGTTTAGAGACAAAGACACCAATATGCAAGCACAGTACTATAAAATGATAAAACGATAGGATCTTTAAAGATGTGCAGAAAAATGAACTGTGCGATGTCCTAATCCCATTTCATAGCAACTCGCTTCAATTCGACGACATACACTTCGAAATTTTGTTGTAAAAATGAAACCTATTAGTACTACCGCCTACTGTTTCGATGTTTGAAATAAATTTTAAAATACTCGTAAGATCCTATCATTATTGCACAGGCTGGAGCAACTTTTGCTATTCGCGGCACCGTACCTGCAATGATACCTCAAATGATATACGAATACAATATACAGAAAGAAAAGGATATATAGATAAATTAGCTGAGAGACAGGCAAAACGAAGGATCCGTATGGTACTGTGGTGAACGCGTCAGACTACGAAAAGGGCATTAAAGTGCTCAATACTCACCGCAGTCACATGTGGTCTAGAGTTTTGCAAATATCTCAGCATCATTATGGTTATTTTTAAGAAATCTGGAGTAGAAAATAACATGAACTGATAGAAAAAATTGGCTACCAGCGAAAAGTGCACGAAATCCCCCGCCACGAAGAACAATCTCCTTCACGGTTTCTGTTAGAGCAATACGGTGAGAATAGTGCTGTTCGCCAAGCTTGATTTGAAGATGTGTTTTTATCTGAGAATAAAGATACTTCTTAATGAATACATGATAGAGCTGGTTTTGAAGTGATCACCGATAATTGTACTATAACAAAAGCAGTAGACTTAGAAGCTTAGCAAAACCATATTTCTTCTCAATTTTTTAAAAATTAAAAAATGTTGATTCCATTATTTTCGACTACAATGCATTATAAGGGACTACTGTGTTCTGTTGGACGAAAATCCGCTACTTTTAACGTTTCGCTGTTCAAGGAAAGCGCTTTGACGACAAAGAAACTGTAAGCTGTGAATTAACTCGTACTGACTAGTACGAACTGGTCGCTCACCACATCGAACGGATGAGTAACAATGGCAGCAAATGTTCCAGCCGTGGCCCCACAGAAAAATGATGTTGTGAAAGTCGTCTCTGGCATTTTTTTCCAAGACAATATGATTCGTTTAAGCGTTTCGTATCCCGACCAGTAGACAGCTGAAAATAAGCGTTGAGGAAAAAGTTTATGTAAATATTTGACATCAAGTATTGTAGCCATTCAGATTAACCGGGTTAGACGACTATAATATAAAAATTGCTCTCCACTTCAATTCAGAAACAACCACACACCTGAAAAAGGAACGTCGCGCAATAGAGTAGGCATCCAGCCCAAGTAAAAACCAGGTATCCCATGATTATTAAATGTGATTCGTAGTGCTTTTCCAATATCTGCAATGATTCTAGTGTAGACATCATAGCAACAAGAGATCATGACACTGACACTGTCTCACCACCATAGTTTAAATTTTCACTTTGCATTTTCGTACGAATCATCTCCAGCGGGCTTACGATTGTCACGGAAATTGCACGTGCCGTCGCTCCAGCCACCAGTGCTCCTGACCAGTCTGGTGGACAAAATAACTCTGGTGTTAACGTACGACGGAAACAGAGACTAAAAAGTTGTTACTGGGAATGACAGGATAAAAAGTGCTCGAAACATTTTCTAAAAACGATAGACAAGCAGGCTAATCGCTCTATAATCCACCACTTTATCGTTGTTAGCGGATTTCAATTTACAATCTACGTTGCGAAGTTCAGTTAGGCGATAGTATCTAGTGAAGGCCTCTCGATGTAGTAAGTTTTTGGCTGAAAATTAACTGTGTTAAAAAGATTCAACTTATTTGCATAGATGACGAGTAGATTTTTACAGATACTACAAGCTACGGCACAATTTTCAACTAAATAATAAAGTTCTGGTTGAGCAAGATCTCCTCTTGGAGCTTAGAGACAGCTATGCTACAGCTCTCACAGGTCGTCACCGAAGTAGTCACCGCTGTTCGTGAGTAGCGAGATTTGTCGCCTTGTGACCAGGTTGCCAGCAGAAAGTGATACCCAATATAGATTTACTTTTAGTCGAACTTTCGAACAAAAATTTCGAACTTTCTCAGCTTGGATGGAGGTTCAGGAAGGGTAGAGTCCTCGAAGTTCGACAACCTCTAGCCACGATAACATAATGAACTATGAAGAAGAGTCAACTAGGATCACTACTATAGAAAGACCCAGTTAATAATAAGAAGCTGGCAATACGAAGAATTGCTAACAAAAAGACTAACCATTCACGGAGACTAGAGATTACGAATAATACTTAGCTTATCATTTGAAGGAGAAAAAGAAGAGGAAACCAAAAGAAAAGACGTGAACCACCTTTGCATATTCGTAAAAAGCCTTCTATGAATTAGCATGGCTCAGAATTCCACGTTGCTCTACCTCACGGAAACATTCCTGGCAACTCTACCAGATGAGGAGAGGAGCAGAGTAGAACCAAGTTAACAATTTGTTTTCACAACTGTACACTGACCAAGAGCTGGTTGCCTCAGGGATCACCATTTATGAAACATACCATCTCGACTAACCACGAACGCAAACACATTTCGAATTCACAAAATCGTTTAAGAGAGTGTGTACGAGAAAGCCAATACAGGCTATACAACTTCCATTCGGGTTAGTTCGACTTTTCTAACCAATGAAATTAGATTAAATTTCGATTTGCTGCTATTTTCTCCAAAGTTCGAAATATAAAGTGATGAAACAAAGAAAATAGGTACATTAAACAGGAATGAACTCACGCCCTTCGAAATTTCGTGAGCAATGCATCATAAACTGAAAGATAAAAAGTGGTGGCAGGAACAGCCATCACCCTAAACATAGGAGGTTCACACTGAATCCTTGAAAACGAACTTTTCAAAGTCTGAAACATATAACCTACAACGTAGGCGAGAGACCACTCCAGAGAGATCGAATGCCTTCGTTACGTGTGATTTTTACAAAAGCGTCCTAAAACACAGATAAAGTGCCATTGAGTTCAAGAGTCTGCAAGAAGCTGGGCATTAACTTACAATCGTCCCAGAGAAATTTCCAGGTCTTTGATACCATTCGCAAGGCTGACGATTCTCACAAGGTATGCAGAGATGCTCCATGAGTCCATTGTGATAAAAGAAACACTGACCCTTGGGAAATGGGTGATGCTGTTGTTGCAACCGGATTTTCACTACATCCATAGGTGTCACTACAAACTATCATAATTCCCTTCAGGTGTACGAGGCTACATGGAATATCGCAGTAACAACATTGCTTACGGTTAACAGAGACCATATGCATTGATGTCCACTCGTACCTACCTCTACAACCTTATAGAACGAAAACTTGGAATTGATACAAATATATGGGTTGAGCATACGTTTAACGAGTGTGATTCTCCTGAAAAACCAGCGAACTATTTTTAGAAACTACTTACTCAAAAGCGCAGTAACGACGGCACCCGTGGAAGAAGCCAGTATTTGCTGCTTTAGCGAAACAGATGAACCAGGAATATTACGACAAATACTCGGACCTTAATAGAAATTCTAATTCACAATCTTAAGCATTCCAAACGACAAATGCAATACCTTCCACTGGTGACTTGCTCTGCCTTGTTACTGGTGAATCCGTTAGCATCTCAGTACCACTACGTGTAGCCATAAATAACTAGAAACATGCAGCTGTAGAAATGGCATAAACAGGGGATTCAACTCTGATCAGCCGCGATTTCAGAAAGAGTGAGAAAACCACCACCCAAATCGCCTTCAGTTCGAGAATTTTCTGGAATTCTGGAACCTGCCTAATCACAAGTAAGGCGCAGGAAGTACTGGGATCATCTAAAAATCCCAAAAGAACTTCAGTGTAATCCAAATATTGGTCGTAAACGTGAGATGACCAGAGAGTAAATGCACACTGAAGCAAAAACATTTCATAGAATTTTGGAGAACGTCAACACCACGAACAACAATCGTGAGGAAGCCAAGCACTTCTGAAGAAATTTATAAGCAAGGTGGGATGAAAACAAATAAAACAAATTATTCGTATCGTAGAAAACATAACAAGCTTATGACGGGTAAAACGCCATTCAGGTAAACTACCAACCACCCTAACAAAACAGAACATAACAAAACTCAGTAAAAACCGTATTTTCCCACAGAAGCAGCGGAATATTAAGAACTCAACAACAATTTACTCCTAACATATCTCTTGGTATACAACAAAGTGTTGCTAATGAACGGCTGATTAAGAAATTTGATGAATTTTTTATGATAGAACCAATACTTGATGAAAACTACTGTGCCACATAAACAAGCGTTTCTCCAACGGGATACGTAAAGCCATTACTGCTCACAGAAACTGTCCTATTCTCAAGATTCACTGTGAAAGTTGCTGAAATTGAAAAGAACTAACGGTATTTGTAAAACGGGATTGTTAAGAAACTGTCACTCACCATGCTCTTCAAGTCGCTCGTTTATCGTCAACGGTTCGTTGCTATTAATTAACGTCCTGTCGCCTCCAATCGAATCTCGATAGCGCCATAACGTTACAGTAAATCGCGCTGCAAGATATAAGAAACATTTGTTAAAAACGTGTTAAAGTTAGATATTTTACTGAACGTATATATTCTACAAAAGCTAAAAGAAAAACCTCTCGGCGTTGATCAATCCATGAGAGATGGGCCATGCATTCGACTTCACTAAGCATCGTTGAAAGTGATTGAATGCATATCTGGCCTTTACAATAACTCGCGGTGGCCTACCGATGTATCGAGCCAATGCTGCTATCTTTCCAGACAAGTCTGGTACCAATTTGCCGACCCCGGAGGGATGGAAGGCTTGGTGGGCCATGGGCGCGGGGATCGATGCCGTGTGCAATGCAGGGCGCCCCCTACCAGTACGCTACACGCGCCTTGTGTACTGCGTCTCACACGTTCTATAATTATAACAAATTCCACGGAGCACTGCCAACGTCTACGTCATCATCGACGCATAAAGAAAAAATTACACATTTAAGGAAATACCAACGTTTGATTGACTTGTTCAGACGACGAAGTTTACGAACTACAACTGCCACCGAATCACCGTTTGCAACGGGGACAGTGATATCGAAAAGACCATTCGCAACATTCACGTTGCGCGCAACCAAATTAATGGTTTCCTAAAACATCTCAATAAAGCATTTCTTAATTAAAAATGATTCATGAGACCATAACCATATAGACGAAGAATGTATTTAAATATTATTACTGCTACCAAATTTCTCACCTTTGGAGGCAAGAAGTGCATCAGTGGCGATCCAGGTACAACTGTTTCGGAAATTATTGGTGCAACATCGATCTCATCCGTGTATTTGATGGAAAAACGATCTAATTCCAAGGAATTTTCGATATACTCACGATTTTCAAGTAGAATAGCAGCCTAAGCATTATCCTACAATATCTTCTAAAGTTGATCATCATGTACAAGTAAATAACACCTGGTCAAATGGACATGCTGACGCAAGAGCAACTGGTCCTTTTTGCTCATACTGCTCTTTAACCATCTGTACAAAAGGCATAGCTTTCTTAGCAAATTTCTTCAATGATGACTCGCTACCTATGAAGTGTGCGATGGTCTTGTTGTCCGGAAGTACTCCATTATTTTCCTGACAACAAGAACACATACTTCTAAAGATCCATTGAAAAAGAGACGGCACGTACGGTAAGAGGGAAAGCCAAACTCGAACTCTAGAACCACAACCTTTGCTTGTTTCTCCAACATTTCCAGCACAGTTTTCTGCCATGTAGGAAACTCCTTTGCCACATAAATCACAGCTTCGGTCGGTTGCACCGCAAAAGCGTTTTTCTTCTTGGAACTCATTACATTTTTAATACGTGCACGAAAATCTGTTAGGACTTCGCGCATAAAGTCCGCTGCCTAAACCATGACCATTCAACTTCATAAAATCGTAAAAGAGCAGAACATTCCAAAGCAGTAATAGGCTGTGGAAAGCGTACCTTACAAAGCGTCTCATCCACTGATACGGTTTCCGGCCACTTTGAATTTACAATAAGATCGTCCTTAATGATCACACATCATAAAAAGGTGAAAAAATACATGCAGAAATAATAATAAAATATAACAATATAAAATAGGCAGTAAACAAAACGGTTAAGATTGTGATTATTACTGCAGCCTCAGCTTAACTGGGTTCGTTTCCGATTTGGGCTCCCCATATTAATCCCGCTGACGGGTAATTGCTGATGACAAAAGATCGATAGAACTAACTGAGAGACAGGCGAAACGAAGGACTCGTATGGTGTGGTGTGGTGTTTAACGCGTTCCTCCACGGAAAGGACAATAGCGCGTTCGTTCCCCACCGCAGACACCTGCGGCCAGAAGTTTTGCAAATATCTCACCATCATTAAAGTTAATAATAAAAAACCAAAAAAGACAAAAAAGGAGTGGTCATTTCTGGAGACACGACGGAGACAGGTCAATATATAACGCGCGTCATAAAATTAAACGTAGTCTCACATGGCTGTTACCCAAATGTTGTGTATTCGCGACTATGCTAACAAACCTTGCCAAGAATCTGCCAAATATGTTCGCTGACATGTGGACAGATTGGAGAAAGGATCAAGGCCTGAGTTTCGATGAAGCGGAAAACCAGTGCTTCATTCATCGCTCCGTCCTGACCACCACATAATTCTCGGTACATATCACGCAAAGCCTAAAAAGTAGATATATAGTATGCAACTCGCCAAGCGGTTAAAACTACAATGGCATGTAATAACAAACCTGATATTCAAAAAATCCATGCTTCAATGCTTCTTTGAATAAAGTTGCCTCGTACTTAGCTGCGCAGTTCTGTATATTTTTGTTCATCTCGTTCGCAAATACACGATCGGCGAAGGTACTACAGTCACCTTTTCTCAGACCACCTTGATCTCTCAATGCCACCTTGATACTGAATAGTTCGAAAAAAAAAGAGAGCAACAGGAAAACAAGGTCATACCATTTCCTTCACCCAATCAATGAGATTGTATAAACGAAGTACTGCTGCATCTGCCATAGCGAAAACAAAGTTGGCATCTTCAATTGCATCTCCAGCATCCTGCATATGAATATTTTAAACATTTTCGTTCCTTGGTATGTTCTATGCACTAAGGTAGTATTTCACATAGACAAAGGAGACTGACCGCGAGAGAAAGGCGCATTCCATCAGCAGAAAATGTTTCAATTCCATCGATAAGTGTCATGAAATTTCCAGTGTTCTTCGACATCTTGAAATAAATGTCTAATAAAGGGGGAGATAGGTAACACCAGGTATTAAACTACACAGAAAACTGTCGTAAATAAACGTCAATAGGCATTATTATCTGGATTATTGAGGTTAGACGAAGTCGTTACACAACCTTAACTGTGGTTAGTGCTTCGGAATTTTTGCTTCCTTCATAGCCGCCATCATTCGGATTGATCTTCCATCAATCACTATTCCGATATAGGCCTTCGCAGTCGCACAGAGGCGAATCGAGTGGAATGAAACTCCGCTCGGATAACCAATACCTACTTTCATTCAATGTCGAAAACGACAATCAGTATCCTTGCTTCTTGAATCAGTGCGGATTCATTCACTGTGTCAATCGCAGAAACGCAGCTCAACTCAGGGCGACTATGAAAGCTGGGATGAATGTATGGCCATAGACAAACCTACTCAAATCATTGCAGCTCTGAAGAAAGCGAAGGCGCCCAAACGTTAGTCAAAGGACTTCGCAACGATCCCGTGGTAAACTCAATAATTCAAGAAAATATTGATTTTTCACGACAAGTTTAAAAGAGACCCGCTTTTCGAAAATCCTTTAAAGACCTTATTAGTTGAGCGAACCTTATCATTGTTAAGTAACAGATGCCCATTTGCTCGAATACTTTTTGGCCACAATTCTCGCTGATTTGGCCATATAGCAACATGATTGAACAAAAGATAGGTGAGGTGGTTTTGTATCAGATCTTTTCCAGAGGCTCGCATATCTATAGGATACCTTAACAACAATGAATTTACAAAGCTGAAAGTCAGTAACCGAGTAAGAATGAATCGAAGGAAAATACTAAGTGCACAAAATAGATTTAAAAAATTGGAAAATAAAGCAAAGAAACAAAGGAGTAACTATTCAAAAGCAAACCAATACAAGAACTCTTTACGAAGAGCTCTAAGTTTTTCTTCAGGTATAACTATGGTCGCTTCATTGAATGACGTTCCAAGAAACACATAATCCCATACAGCTTCCGTTAATTGCTCGGCTCTGAACAAATTCGTTACAGATAAACAAAAAGAATAAAGCTCTAGATGTGATCTATCTCTGAGAGATGCGCCATGCATTGAATTGCATTAAGCATCGTTTGGAGGTGATTGAATGCATATGTCTTATAGAATGGCTCGCAGCGGTCACCGTTGCATTGAGCCAGTGCTGCTATCCTGCAAGATAAGTCTGGTACCAATTTTCGGACCCCAGAGGGATGGGGGGTTTGGTGGGCCTTAAACGTGGAGATCGATCCCATGTGTATTGCACGGCGCCTCGGACCACTGCACCATACCCGCCCATTTGTTTCATTCGTTATAGATAGTGGACATCAAGAACTAAATACTACAAAAAGCACCCTATTATAGATGAGATATAAAGTTAGAAAAAGAGAACGGGGTCATCAATGGTACCGTATTCCTGCTGGACCAACAACGCTACCATCCAAAGATCCTTGCTGTAGAAGATGAGCCACAGTATAATAGGCATTGTAAATAGTCGAGTCTGACAGTGACTCTATAAGATACTGTGGATCCCATGGAAGTTTTGTTCCTAAAAATGATTAAATTTAAATAATACCATTGAGGGAAGCACAGATGTTCAACTAATACGAGTTTCTGTGTTATAAAACCATTATGGGATAAATATGGACTTCTACTACATAGTACAACCTAATAATGCTGTATGAAATATACACGGCTTTTAAGTCGTCCTGAATGATTCGGTCAATTGATCGTAACCAGTAGATGAACCGTAGTCAAAAGGATGTAACAGTCCTGCGATTCCTACAGAACAACGATTGCTAGTGACGAAAACCTTGTAACACTCTAGCACAACCATCTCAGGATTCCATCAAAGATCACACTTCGCTAGTATTGATAATATCAGTGAATACACAAAACGACAGATATTTGTGCCGCAGCCGAAGAATACCCGACAATCCCCATGAGAGAGAGAGTGGAGAAGCTCCTAATCCAGTAGAAGAATTCTGGGAACCATCTAAGAATCTAAGAAAATACCAAGAAAAGTCAAAACCATTACCAAGCCCATAGCTTCTCGAGCAGGCATGCTCATGAAGCCAATCTACCGTCGCTTCAAAGTTTCGTCGAACCTAAACAGCTGCTTTAACAGACGGAAAGTGTTCTTATCTCATAGTATTGACATAACACAATTGAAAACAGTGTATCTCATATATAATGTTGAGACATTTGCAAAACTCCGGACTGCAGGTGTAGGCGGTGGGGAACGAACGCGCTATTCTTCTTACCGGGGAGTAGCGCACATCACCACCACACCATCCGGGTCCTTCGTTTTGCCTGTCTCTCAGCTAGTTCTATTGAGCGGTCCGGAGTTTTGCAAATATCTCAGCATTATATACGAGTTATATTTCGCAACATACCCTGCCATTAAAAAGAAAAAGGCAGTAAATAAAAGGGTTAAGATAGTGTATCTCATATTGCGGTAGAGCAGAGCTAAACGATATAGGGAAAACGTACAGATAAAGTGAAAACCACTCTGAATATGTAACAAAACTTCTTGTTGAACAGTTTATCTTTGAAGCAATAATCTCAAACTAACCTCCTCGTTATACGTATTCAGTTGGGCTAGTGCTTCTTTCGCTGCAGCTTTCCACTCTTGTTGGCCATAATTGAGGTACCTGTAAAAATCATAAAACCTCGATATTGGAACATGTCCTTCACTGGAGAAGAAGTCCTACCACTGATCACAGAGTGCTACAACACATTCATCACCGCTTCGACTTATGACTTTCTTTTCCGGTTCAACATACCTATAAATGAGTTCGAAAACTACGTACTACACAAAATACTTAATAAAAGACATTATCAAGGCCCTAATAAAAGAGTTGGCATGAGTCTATGTACTGATCAGCTTCATTGAAACACAGTGTTTGTTACGCTTGTACAAAATGACATTTAGCCATAAGAGCTGCGTTGTTGCAGACTATATAGGTAAGCCAGGGCGTGGTTTTACCATTAATATGGCCCACTACCAAAATGAAATAATGCCTCTCGTCCAACTAATTTGAGAAAAAATAACTTTTTAGCGAGTCCTTCTTGTAACAATTCTTCTTGAATCTTCTTCTTGACATCAGCTGTCTTTTGTCCAACATACTTCCCTACCAACATTACCTTAAAAGAAGTAATACTGCCCAAATTCATTGAAACAAAAAAAAATTGGTCGAAACGTACACCATCGTAAAATCCTTTCAGGTAAACTTCTTTCTTCGCTTCTTCTAGTTTATCTTTCTCGTTTTGAGACTCAATATTCAAACGATGACACATCTCGACGGCTGCTAGATTGCCGAGACCTTTGATTTCAATAATTGGTACCTAAATCTCACCACTAATAAAGACAACTGGGAACAAGATGTATCAAAACTTTTCTACACAAAGAGAAAGCAAAAAGCACTCACAGGTTCGAAGGGAAGCACCATGTCATCAGTAATTCCATACTTTTCACGCAAAGGTTTCTTCTTTTTCAGATCTGCTAGCGCAGCAAAATCATCTGGAGAGTCGGAAGGAACTGATGTTACAACTCCAGTACCTGTTCAAAGCCACAGCATAAATTTTCTTCAAGAAGGCGATAAACTATTAAGAACTGGTCAGTAGAAAAAGCCGGACGATGGTCTGCTCGAGGCCAGTAAAAGATCGCAGAAAAAACGTCAATATTCGACTTCTAGGCCTTTAAGATGAAGAAATGTAGCAAAATAGTCAAAGTAAAATAAAAATATAATGACAATATAGGAAAACAACTACACTTAACTTATCAGAAACGTAAGAGCGAATATGTTCATAGCGACATATTAATATGGTTACGTACATGATTTGACAAAAAACTCAGTAAAAGAAAAAAGTAAAAGACGAAATAAGAACTTCTGAAGGTCTGGAACCTTTGTCATCCTTAATCGTAAGCATTGGAAGAGCATAAACTTTAGGGTATGTCGTGAGAGGTGCTGATAGCGCCGCGCCAAGGAATGCCCTTCCAGGAACCTATAGAGAGATCTTCTCTGATATTATCATCTCGAAATAGCGAATAATACATACTTTCTCTAGCCCTTCCACATACTGAACGACTCCATTCTTAGCAGTGAGGCCTTGGTACGACATATTTCGAGCAGCTCTGAAATTATCTCGCTTCAAAAGAAACTTCAGCAATGTAACGTTGACAAAAGCGATAGTAGAAGCATACTTCCGAGTGGTAACACTATTTTGTTATTTACTATAAAGCAACATAAACATTACCTGGCAGTGGCTATGAAGATGACGTCTTCCTTCTCACCAGCATAGAATACTGAATAATGAATCTCAGGATGTATGTAACAGTTCGTTTGGCCATACATTGTCTCTGGCCTCAGTGTTGCCGCCACCAGGTATACTGGCAGGGTAACATGAGCGATAACTGCAGGTTTGGGATCGAGAATCTGAAGAATAGCAAAATTGAAAGGTTATAATGACGACATCCATTCGAATGCGGTAATGATCATAACAAAATGGTTTCGTTTTCAAAATTCCTATGAAAAAAAAATTCCAAAATTAGGCCAGTTACATCAGTAATCATGGCACAGTCTACTAGTCACGGAAATAGATGCCGCAGGAGAAATCGTACTCATCCTCGAAGAATAGTAGGACGCCCATAAATTTTACTTCGATCCATAACTGTCCACGACTTTCGATGGTGAAGAATCAGAATAAAGAGAGAAACAACAAGTCTTTATGTCGCCTAGCGAACCACGCACCATACCAACCATGCTCACGAAGAAGTAGGTCAATGATTCTAATGACGTTCGTGACGTTGACCTTTTAACAATAGGGAAAGTACCTGTAACTGAATCAACGTGTATTCCTGGGGTGAAACACCTTCACCAGTAGAACGATCATGATCCATACAAGGTTGTCCGTCTTTAGGTGAATAAATTGTGTACCTAAACTAGCCAACCCAATGGAGCAGTGTTACTTATAAAAACAATGACATACGAAGAACTGAAGTTTTCAAAACAAGAAGAGGTAACATGATGAGATACAAAAGACCAGTAGGAGACATAACATGACCATACCTTTTACCAAATTCAATCTTCTTAGCGGCACGCAACTTCTCAAACTGCCATCGTACAAATGAATCGTAGTATGGATTGACATCAGTTGTTATGAAAGACCGGCGCCAATCCACCTATTATTTTTATGACTTCCAAGTAGCCCGACCTAATGTCCATTTGACTACAATTTTTAATGAACACCTGGAGAACGTACTTTGACTCCCATTCGCTTTAAATCCGAGATGCACAGTGGAGGAAAATAATCGAGCCAGTAGTCTGTATTTGAAAACTTCTTGATCTCTTCATCTGTCAAGCCTAAGGATTCCATGATTTGCCATTGATATTTGGATGAATCCGTTTTAGCAACGAGTTTGCTCTGAAAGTAGAATGGAATAGAAATCAAAGGGATATCAACAGCCAGGTTTAGAGAGGTACAAACACACTTACGTCGTTAGATAATGGGCAAATAGCTCACCAAAAATTGGCAATGAAATCAAAAAATAACCTTCTTCCCCTTACTCTTATCCTTCGTTATCTCATTAATGGATGAAACGTCCTCTTTCGGCATCTCTTCGTACTCTATCGGAAATCTAAGAGAAGTATTTCACTCCATGGAAAAGAAAGCACCACCAGTATGAGACAACTAAGTAGAACAGGAGTGATGCAGTCATTTCACAGAAACCAAACATGGGTGAGAAAATTACGCCTACCTAGGTGGGTAACCAAAATTCTCCATTTCACGTTTTAGTTTGTCAGCACACGCCCTTATTGGCATTCCAGTACAGTGAAAGCCGAAAGGAAACAAACATTTCTTTCCCATGAGACGCTGGTATCCCACAGCGAACTAAACACTGTGATGGAAAACTTCAAGAAACAATATAACGGATAGAACAATTTTCAAACCGACCAACAGTCAAGTTCGGTAGCAAAATAACCATTATGTATTTAAATTGATGGGCTTACACGAGGTTGACAAAATTTATTTCGGCTAACGTTTCGACGTCCTCGTTTTCATCAGAGCCAATGATCCGATTCGATTGTCCACTCGGCTCTGATGAAGACGAAGACGTTGAAAGATTAATCGAAATAGATTTCTTTATCAAGCTCAACAGCTTAAATACATGCTGATGAAAAGATCTGAATTCTAAAAACTTGTACTAAGCAAATATGAACAATTCTCACTTCACATTTCGAAAGTGTAAACGTGTGACCCAAATGAAGTCGTCCATTCATGTACGGGTAAGGAAAAGTTGTTAAGTACTTCGCTGAATTCCTACAAACATAGGATCAGATCTGAGACGCTTAAGATGAAACTACCCAAACTTGAAAATACTTACGCATCGCTAGCATCTTGCTCGAACACCTTTGCGTTCTCCCATAATTTCTGAATTTCAACTTCCTTTTCCAGGAGTCGTGCAACCTTCTTCCGTTCACCACCTGGATTGATCATGTTCTTCGCTAACATAAGCACACTAAAAACATGACGTCAGTTGTAACTGCAGTGATGTGCGCAGATTGAAACATTCGAATGATAAAGACGCTAATAGCCTAGCTAAGAGTAAACCAATAGCAGGATCTACCAGCGTCCTGGTATCAAAGTCGCATGGTGGCTAATCTCCCTCTGATCCACAAGAGCTGTGACTACCTGTCGTTGTGACGACCTGGGGCAGACTTTGGCCAAGCTAACCTCGGGATTCCGGAGAACCATAATAGCATAACTAGCAAGTCTCCAAAAAATGATGATTATGCCGGCGCCCGCACAACCAGTGAGGACGGTCCGTTCAAGTATCAAGTATCAAGCAAGGACGTTAATAATGAATGAACTGAATCGATAACGAAAGTGTGAGTAGAATAAAACGCCAGAACACATAAGAAATCATCGCAACCCTTAGACAATACTCCTCGATTAATGTGCACATTTTTCGCTTTCACGGAATGAATTGCCTATTTACGTGCCCTATTGAATAAATCTGACCTAACCACGGGTTGTTTTGTAAGCGTAACGTTAGGAAAGGAATGTCGTCTATTTCTGCTTTGACTGTTTCTTTCACATGGAAACTCACAGAGGTGCACGTACATATACACATACACATACACGTACACATGCACATATACACATATACACATACACATACACACACATTCACGTTGTGGTTAAATCTTGGCGTTTTTGTGGTTGGATTTCAAATAATACTCTGCCATCAAAGAAGAATAAGCAGTAAACAAAAATCTAAAATATGTTAACAGAATTGTTCACCCATCGTGCTGGTTTATACGAATCTTCGCCAAGGGACTTAAATCGCAGAAAAAGTAAAAGGAAAAGAAGATTTATCTCTTCCGTAGCAAATATGCCACTAACCACCTTCTGTAAGGTTATCTCTGTTGATTGGCATCTACCGAGCGCACCACGATCTTTCGAAGGCTCTGAGATGAATACTGACCATCGAAGGCGTTATTCCTTCTTTGTGATCGTACTAGATTGCGCTCGTGCGCTTAACTACGACTCACATCACCTTCCTATTCGTGAATCTGTCGTCAAACCCCTTTGTTATATGTATCTGCGACACTCGGTTGCTTGAACAACAAGGCGCTACGCCAGTGTAGACGTGATGCATATGGAGATGAACATATGTGGAGTATCGGACTCATCTTGAATTTATTAAAGATCGTAAGATCAACAGTCGAATCATAGAGGTCATCTTTAACAACAGCGTGTATAAATAATCTTCCGAAAGCGGCCTCTCTGTGAAGCATGAGGAAAGAGCATGGCGTTCTTCGTCTTTTACTAACGTCTTTCGAGTAAAGAAGTGGGCAATGGCAATTCTTTACGCACACGGTGCAACCAACCCAGGCATTAGTTCGGCCCTGCACAGGGCACACTGAGCCTCTTGATCCTACAAACTCGAGGACTTAGTACTACACTTATCTGAGACAAGCTCACTTCCTCTATTTCAAGTAAGAAAAAGCTCTTGTATGGTTATCCGAGGATTCAAGAGAGAATCGACTCCTACAGCCTACATTCTGAAGGCGAAAAAACGCTCAAACTACAACGTAATCCGCATGCAAATGAAGTTTATCCTCATAATGATAAATGTGGTATCGGGGTCATGTAAGAAGAAAATAATGATAGACATTTCAGGTGTATGTGAGACATGAGGGAAGAAATCGTACGGGGAAGAATAAGAGGGCAAAGGGTTCTGAACAGCCTAAAAATTTTCGTCTCCGAATATGAGTGGTCGTAAGAAAATTGTGCGAATACGAGCTACACTTCTTCAGGAGTTGCCAGTCCCGAGATTGAGCAATGAATATACTCTCTTCGTTTATATCCAACCACTTCTTTGAATCGCTGATGCAGAAGCCAAGTGCGTTCTTCTTCTGAGTCTTTCTCTGACGCGCACTGTAACGTTGCGTTGTATAAGTCAACTTTTGACCACGTGGGTTACACTGCTGTCGGTCAGCTAATGATTGCTTCGAGTTTCTACAAAGTGACGTCAATCTTAATCATACATTATTTCAAATGTTCGGATTTGCGTAGGCTACGATGTATTTGTCTGGTATCACTTCGAAAATCCAACGAGGACGAAAACTCTCAGGAAGAAGTTATAACGGAAGAAGCAGACGCGATGGTTTAAGTAAAGATAGCAAAGACTAATGGTGAAATCATATGAGCTGATTACTTCTGCAGAACTCGATTCTAGCACAGATATCATATCTCGCATTCTTGATGTGAAGCAATGACGGTCGATAGTCTTCCAAAATCGCTCTGAGGTCGTCACGATCGGCAGCGGCAGAGCGTGCCGATTCGGAAGTGGATTTCCCACTTAGCTATCGGTTAAATTTTCAATTTAGTTCATTTTTCGACTTTTGATTTTCCTCAAAACTCTAACTGCTCTTTTATTTTAATTAGACTTGTGTATGGTTCGGCTTCTACATCTCGAGCTGTCGAACATTTCGTTATCACTACTTTTATTTTTGACTTCGGTTGTTGTATCCTATCTGAATGAATTAGCAGGAAGACGAAAAGCAGGAGTCGTCGAAAAGACACTTCCTTCAGATCCACATATTAGTGAAGGCATGAAAACGCCCTTGCAAGATTAACTCGAGAATCCAGAGAAGGTTCAGGTTCACAATCAGCAATAGGCCAACCTCAGCACCACTCACAGTGAGCACTCTCACTGATGGTGTCAGGCGGCGAGACGACCGGTCAGAGGCCACAAAATCTTGGCTTACATTGCATGGATGTCACTGGAACCCGGTCTAACGTACATACGGCGTGCTTATCATCACTATGGTTGTATTTCACGCAATACTCTGCCATTAACCTTCTCAACATCATAGTGGTTGTATTTCACATCATACCCTGCCGTGAAGAAATTATAAATGGCAACAGGTAGAAAAGTTAACATTATTTAAATGTCTTTCACGGGTTTGAATGACTTGCTTTTATGGCACAGAAGGCGCACAACACAGAAGATTTAACCCTTCCGTGAAAACCTGTAAAAAAGGCAGGAAATAACAACTTAACGTAGACGATTTGATTCTTTATGTTCAAAGTAAACCAACAGAAGCTTTGAGAAACCGTACTGTACACTTCAGGAATAGGTGAGAGAATTTGTCGACAACGTCAAGATTATGAGACGTTCACATTGTTCTTGAGAAAAGTGCAAGTAGTCGCATACAAAGCGTTCACTGCATTAATTAGACACATTTGCTTCAGTGTTCCCGTTCTAAAGAAAAATAAATGAACACATGCTCTACAAAAAATCAGTGGTTGGGTTATCGGTGGCTGAATTCGTATCTACCATATATATATATATATATATATATATATATACATATATATATGTAATACACACATATGCAATATATGTACATATACATATACATGCATATATACAATCTTAACTAGGAAAGTGACTTTATGAGGAGGCGATGGTAACTGAAAACGGTAAGCGATGAAACTGAGAAGAGCATTATGAGTGAATTTGAAAGCAAGAAAAAACTGCTGAGATCATCGTTTTATTCGAGACGAGAGCGTTCATCATCGTTCTCCTCTTCCTCCTCATCATCTGTCTCATCTCCTTCTTGGACAATGAATGTGCAATCCTTTTCAATGAGCAGTTTGTGTGGTCCTAATCGGATGTTACGCTTGGCACCCATCTGAATCTATGCATCATCAACAAAATTTATTAGTTACAGTATAACTGACCATATGAATTGATGTCAACACATAGGTGATATAAGCAAAATGAACCATGTGTATTGGTTCGAATGCATATTCGTTTCCATTTTGTCTTTTTACAGAGCTTCTTTGGCATTTTTTGCTTTTTGCGTTAAATTGAGAGCCTATCCAACGACAATATGTTATGATCCATTTCACTTGATGAGCGGTAGCTCTAGAAACTTTTTCTCTTGGGTATCACAGCATTCAAAACGAATATGATGGATAGTCAGATCGATTTTAATCTCCGTTTACTCTTGTGCTTATTTGCATGCACTTAATTAATTGAAACTCTCCTTATTAATTAAAACGTCTTTTTTTCTTCCTTTGAAGCGGAAAATTTGAAAAAGACCACTGGCTTCTAGTCGGATGAGTTACCAACCCGTACACTGAAGTTCTTGGTAGTTCTTATGATTTTGCTTAACAAAGGAGATTGGTGGATTTTGGAGAGCGATTTAATCTACATTTCCCTACTTGAATAGCCTGTGATCTCTAACTGAGAAATTCCCAGACTAGTTGCCAGTCTATCTACGTGGCGCGTTTTGAGGTGGCCAATAAGGGATTGGTGTAAACGGGGAGCAAAAACAATAGGGGAGCAAAAACAATACTTACGCTGAGCATACATTCAGTGGATGGACCACCTGGCTTCTACTGTGCCAAATTAACATATACCTTGTGTACGTGACAATTCGGCACGATTCGGGGAACTATCGGCGATGATCAACTCCTAATAGATGCGTCATGCGTTCTACTGCATTAAGCACCGCATAAAGGATTGTTTGACACCGTGATTGTGGTTCGTTTGAAAGATGCTTCCCAGAAGATAAGTGTCGTGCTAGCTTGCCAAATTCGAAGATATGTGGCTTGGTTAGCTTCCCTGTGCTGTCGAACGAAAAACTTTGTGTGTATTGTAGAGCATCTCTAACCACAGCACAAAACTTGTATCAGTGTGTCAAGATTTTCGCAAAAATGCGAGATCTCGCTATGACTCATGACATTCCTTCTCCTTTTAGTTGATTTAAACAGCCATCATAGGGTTGTGAAGAAGCATGGCCTTACTTATAAAGTGCGAAATTCTTACCTATAAAGGTCGTAAAGTGTGGGTTAGTTGCGCCCATGCTAGGCTGTTAAGAGGAAAGAAAACATTCGCTCTAACTCTATTTCACCCCAAGAAAGAATCATATCACTAGTCTCATACCTTTTCAAACTTCGTTACGTCATCGTGTTTACTGATGCAGAAGAAATTTATCACGAAGAATGAGATAAGAAATAATGTGGCGGAGAATGTTGCCGCTACCACTATCGGCCCGAAGTAGTCAATCAGATCGAAATGTTGCTTTGCCATCTGAAAAAGCGACTGACAACATATTAGAGCAAACAAATGGAATGTAGCGGAAGCATGAGGCAAAGAAAGCTAAGTCGTTGCGAGTCTAACAAAGTGACAAAATGGAATCAATCAATTGCCTCAAACTTATATTTTCTCGAAACGTCGGCATTGCTTTGGATAATACTGTCAAATGAAATACAACCAAAAGTTGATAAATGGGCAAAACTTGGGAGCTCAAGCAGAATAGAGAAGGAAGAGGCAGAAAAAAAATGTGACAACAATGTGATTTTCACGGTGGCTTCAGCTTAACTGGGTTCAATGCCGATTTTTGTTCCCAGATCACTTCCGCTGAAAGGTGACTGCCGATAGTACCGGTAGAGTTAAATCATGTCTAAGAGAGGCATAGCAAGGACCTCGATTGATGTGGTGGATAGCACGTGAGCCCTAGTGCGGTATTGAGGGTTCGAAGACCACTCGACGTTCCAAGTTTTGTTCATATTTCAACATTCTAGTGGTTGTATTTTACATAATACCCTGTCATGAAAAATGAATAGGCAGTAAATGAAGTTTAAGACACTGACAAATGAGTTATTGACAAGAATCAATCTATTTGAAGCCTGTAACTACCCAATTCTTTTTAAGCTCTTTTCCGTAATTTCGGATGTATTCTTCATTAATATCTTAATCTAAAGGGAACGTTATCGATTATACTGTAGTCCGCTCTAATCCTTCAGCAACCTCGAAGCCTCCACGTTTCTGGTTATGCATCTACTAAGTGAATTGTTCAGTGGTCAGTGGGAGACGATGGAGAATCTGTGGTTGTATGTAATCTTTTGTTACTAACTTATCAAAATGAATAAACCATGTCTTTTCCATTAGAAAGGCATCACATTGTGAGATCACGCAAGAGAAACCACAAACTCCAACGTATTTATAATCACTCCAACTGTCAGACGACCGCTAATAATTTCTCGATTAGATAGAGTGTCTAAGGACGTGTGGAGAGACAAGTATAGGAGATTTTGCGATATTGTACAAAGAGGATTTCAAAACAGACTTTCCTTTAACCTCAGTATTACTGATGAACATGTATTCTTATTTTTGATAAGCTTATACGAGGTTGATAAACAATTTTTATTCGGCTAAGGTTTCGACGTCTTCGGCCTCATCAGAGCCGGTGATCCGAGTCGATAGTCCACGGTTCTTCTTCGTCTCGATGTGGAGTCTTCACCTTCGCATCGAGTTGTGTCTTCCTGAGCGGGCTATCTCCTCGAATGAGGCATAATCACTCGGTGATGCCCTTTCATGCACGATGCTGATGGTTGACAGTAGCGATTGTACGGTATAGTAACTTGTCTTCCCTGGTCAATCAATCCTGCAGAAGTCGGTATCATTATCAGCTAGCAAAGAGCAATAACAGTATTTCAAAACCGACTTTCCTTTAACCTCGTTATTACTAATCAATATGTATTCTTTCTTTGATAGGCTTTCACGACGCTGGTATATGGCGCGACGTCACGCGTAATCACAAAACACTCCTCCCTGCAGTTCACTTTTGAGTTCTGGGAACTCAATCGAAGCGCTTCAAGATATTTATGCACTGATGTTTTGGATTCCTGTGCAAGGATAGCGACTTTTACTTCAAAATCTTCTCCGTTATATCTCTCTTAATGAAGTCGAATGCATGGCGAATCTCTCAGGGATTGATCAGCGCCGAGAGCTTTATCCTTTTACTACCGCCTTATTTAAACTGGCACTTTTTAAACAACTTTTCATGGCTGTAATTCTTTCTCAGCACCGTTGTGGTTGTATTTCACATAATGCTCAGCCACGAAAAAAGTTACGGGCACTAAATAAAGGGTTATACACTGTGAAAACGGTGAATGTCTAAGGGAAGCTGTTCACTATACTAATGATCACTTATGTACTGCTTTGTCTACTAAGGATGTGATGCTGTTTGAGCTACTGTGTATTAATAAACGGTGTAAGAAGACTCTCGTGTTTGCTCATCACGGAAAACTGTGAATTACTGATCAGTGCCGAGGTTAAGAGAAAGTCGGTCTTGGGATTTACTACATGAAGTGCCAGAAAAAAGTTTTTAATAAAAAAAAAGCTCTTCAGTGATAAAGGACAGTTTTTTGACTTTGGTCAACGTTTGGGAGGATTCACTGCCAGCAGATGCGCGATGGTTGGCACTTCACTCTGATGTCCATGAATATCATGTACGATGGTGTACGATATACTTACTGAATTTGAATTTCAGTATATCGATCTGAGCTCTTACTCGTGATCCTGGGAGAGATTGACTTGATTGCACCAATTTAAAGTTAACGCCATATTTTCCACTTTCAGGGAATAGCTCAATCTGTTATGACGTCATCGATATTTTTTAGTGTTGTTTGCAAGTGATGTTTAGAGAAAAAGGAGAAGTAAAGTAAAAAGTAAGTAAAGAGTTCTTTTTCAGCAAATGAAAAAGAGATATAACCGATTGCGGTAATAATACTGCAAAAACGAATCGACGAATACAGTAGACCATTTAGCTCTTTCGACTCAAAGCTAACACATCCTAGCTCATACAGAACTTTATTGATATCAATAAAGACCATTAGAATCTATAGAATTTTAAGTAGAAGGTGGCAGTTCTTCGATTCCAAGATGAATCCCCGACCTTATGGAGTCCGCATAATGTATTTCTTTAACCTTCCTTCCTTTATTTCCAGTTTCTTAGAGATTTCACTTCTACACAAGTTTAAAGTTAAAGGGAATTGAGTTGCTAGAGCACAATGTTGCCTATAAGTTTACGGTGTTCCGAACTCTTCGGGTGCTCCAGTAATTAAGGATTTATCACCAGTTGTCGAAAACAACAATCACTGCGATCGTACTGAATAAAGAGATGGTTTTCACATATACCTGTTCCTGATGCCAAGGAAAAGAACTGAATTATTTAGCATATTTTCGGAGTTGGTAAGTTCGCTTCGAGATATACATAAAGCATTGAAGCTACGACTACATAGAAGTTGATCAACAATAGATTAAGTAGCTGAAAGTTGAACACCTCCTGCACGATTCCTCCTCAAAGATAACTAAGAACAACAGTGGCTCATAACGATTCACGTATACAAGACAACGTTGGGTGCACGAAATTTTCACTTTACTTACTTACTTGGATACTTGAAGGATCCGTCTTCACAAGTTGTCCAGACTCCAGCACATTTGCCATTCGTTTCTTTCCCTTGCAATCTTCGTTCATGGTGGTGGTTTTATTCGACTATGGTGGTGGGTGTGAGTCTCATACCATGATCTGTAAAACAACTGCAGCTGCTAGTACAGCTGCTTAACCTAAGTTGCAAACAACTCCGTCCAAAGCGTGGGTGATCGTTTATGGGCCACTTGCATCACCGTGAAGTCCAGTCGGTATTTCTTCTCGTCAGTCGTTTGTTCTTCTCATTGTGAAACCGACTCACCCACGTTTTTCATCGATGGGTGTTCCCCTGGGTCTCGAAGTTAGGGATAATTTCGTAGATCAGAGCTTCGCATTCCGTTACTTCACTTCGCAATATTGTATATGTCGGTTACATCTCAGAAGATATTGTTCAAAAGCTCTGTGAATAGTGCGCAATATTCTTGACGTCGTTGAAGTATTGGCCGACGTCACTGCTACATAACAGAGCGCTGGAATTGCTATCGAATAGAAAAGGTGAGCACCGGTTTTCGGATCCTTTAGTTGGTCAGTGTCTTCTTTGAGGGCCCAAATGTGATCCACGCTGCCCACCTTTTTTTGTCTAATTCCTCATTCATGCTGTTCTTCACGTTCATTGAACGCCCAAGGCATGCGTACGAGGTGGTCGCTGTAATCAGAGAACCATCCAGTCTGACCTTTTCGTCTCCGCGCCATGGGTTTTTCATGAGTTTTTTTCCAATTTATAAACAGGCTAATCTTTTTTACCACTTGGTGAGTACATTGATCATCGTCTCTGCAGCGTTGGTACTTCTTGAGAATATGACGATATCGTTGGTGAAGCGAGGATTTGATAGGAGATCATAACTTAAAATCCCACGAAAATTCTACTTCAGGAATTAAAAATGGACCCCAAACTTTCAAAACTTGAAACTCATGCGGCTGTGGCAAATGTAGACGACACCTTGGGCCCTGCTGGACAAAATCTCCTTGCTCAAAGGTTTCACTTCTATGCCGATGTTCCTCGGTGAGAAAATGAACGGTAAAAAAGTGACTTAATAAAAACTCATTGAAAAAATGAAGATATGGTTCGCAAAAAGTTCTACAGGTGTCAGTGATCGCTCTGAAGAATCAGCATCATGACAAAGTAAGGATGGATTCGGTTTGTTGCCTCAACGATCATTGCGAAGGGATGCACTGCCCTAACGAGAGTCACTGTTGGGCTAGTAGAATTCTAGTCGCACGGCAGCAAACTTCCCTAACATTTAAAAACTTAAAGATTGCCTGTAGTAATGATCTGGAAATGCCCCAGTACGGCTACTTTGAGCTCTCAAAAGAATCCTGTTAAGCAACCTTCCATTGAGAAGGGAAATGCACAGATCTTGGACTTCCAGCGGAATACACAGCCGAACCTGACTACTTCTATGGGCGATACTTTCCAGACAACGGTATGAATGCAAAAGCGCCTGGGCTTCGCATGTCGTGTGAAAATGCGTCATTTAAGTATGCACATAAGCAGAAGAATGTGCAACGATCTTTAGATTCTAATCCTTCCTTCATTAGTAAACTTCCCTCAGCGCTTCAGTCGTCGTTGCTGAACCAACGCTGACGAATGTCGGTAAGAGGTTTCTTTTTCCCTCTCATGTATATGCCTTTGAGTAGAAAAGATATCAGTATGCACCAACAAAACGGTTTTTGACGATGATCTGAGCGAGCAGGCTGGTTGGGTGGGCTGGAAGGGCGGCCATGAGAGTGGTTGTTTTTCCTGCCTCGCTCGCACTTTCTTCCTTCCTAACGACGACACCACGAGAACTATTGATTTGGAATAATCGAAGAGGTT